TTTTGCTGCCACAACAAATTGCCACGAACCACCTGGTGTCTCCCACCTCTGGAGACTGAGAGTCCCTCCCCCACACAAACCCCCTTCTCCCCACCCCCGCAAAGCTGGGGCCTCTCCGGGGAATACAACTACTTCCAAGGCCTTTCGAGCAGCTGAATTCAGTTCCCGGTGGTTGGTTGTAGGACGAAGGTCCCATTTTCTTGCGGGCTCCAAGCCGGGACTGGTCTTTGCTCCCGCAGGCTGCTTGCATTCCTTCTAGCACTTTCCACGCGGCCCCTGCCAGCAAGGCAGGTCAAGTCCTCACACACTCGGAAGCCCTCTCTATTCCCTGCTCTATCGCTCTGCCTCCAGCTGGAGCCAAGCCCTCTGCTTTTTCTGCGGTGTTCATGTGATTGATCAGACCCACACGGGTAATCTCGGATGACCTTCCTGTGGCAAAGTCTGTAACGTTAATTACATCTGCAAAGTCCCTTTTGCCCCATCATGTAACGTAGTCCTTTGTTTTTTCCTTCCTCTCCTTCCGTCATCGTCTGGAGAAAAATCCAGGGAAGAGTCAAGAAAAACGGTGGGATGTAGCTCAATGCCTTGCCGAGCTGCTGTAGTGATGGGGGCGTCAGGTCATAGGGTCAGGGATGTGTCTAGCGGCTTTATTCATAATTTCCCAGACTTGGAAGCAAGTAAGCTATCTTTGGGTAGGTGAGTGGGCAAATACATTGCGGTCCCTCCGGACCATGGGCCACTATTAACGATATAAAGAAGTTACTTATGAAGCCATGGAAACGCATGGGGAACCTTAAATGCATGCTACCTAAGTGAAAAAAAGCCAATCGTAAAACATTCTGGAAAAGGCAAACTATGGAGACAGTAAAAGGAGCAGTGGTTGCAGGGATGGGGGCGGGGGAAAACCGGCAGAGCACAGAGGATTTTTAGGGCAGTGAACCTACTCTGCATGATAGTGTCACGGTGGATATAGGTCGTTATACATCTGCCCAAGCCCAGGGACATACAACATGAAGAGTGAACCCTTAAGGACTTTGGGTAATAATGACATGCCAGTGCAGGGTCATCGTTGGGAAAATACGCACCATTCCTTCCGATGCACGATGGTGACAGTGGGGGTGTCGTGCAGGTGCTGGGGCAGGGGACACATGGAAAGTCTCTGGACCTTCCTTTCAATCTTATTTGTAAACCCAAACAAACTGCCCTCCAAAATTAAATATCTTATTTTTACTTAGTTGCTTTTTATTTATTTTTTGAGAGAGAGAGAGAGAGTACGCAAGTGCTGGAGAGGAGCAGAGAGAGAATCTTAAGCAGGCTCCATGCTCAGTTCAGCCCAACGAGGGGCTGGATCCCACGAGACCCTGAGATCATGACCTGAGTCGAAATCAAGAGTCAGACACTCGACTGACTGAGCCATCCGGGCGCCCCAAGTCTTTTAAAAAAAGAATCAGACATGCGATTCCAGCCACTGTGCTCGGACAATGACACAGCTGCGTGTGGCGCCTGGCATCGAATGGTAAGGATGAACAGCCCCTGGGACACACACACACATGGGGGCTTCCCATGGCCACTCCCTCCAGCCCGGCTGGCCGCCCTGAGCAGCCCAGGGAGACCAGAACACCCTGCACTTGAACAAGTCTCTAAATCTGATGCAATTTAGACCGGAAGACTGTGCTCCCTGCCAACAGGACACGTCTGTGATAACTCTGAGCTAGCCACTAAAGCTGAACTTGAAAACGATCCACAGTCAATGTTGTAAATGATATTTAGTCGCGGAAATCTAAATAAATCAAAGAAATTTTTAAAAAATAAATGTATTCGGGTAAGAACAGTTAACAAGTAACTTCCTCTGTGATTTCTTGCAAACTTTTGAGACATATAGTCTTCTTTAGACTTGGTGGAATATTAGATATATATTAAACTAGGCTAAAGATCAATTTATTGGTGCATAACTCACGCAAAATAAACTGGACCCACTTGCAGTGCACAGTGGACACGGAGTTCCCGGGGCTCGTGCTGCGTCTGAGGACTGGGATCAGCAGTCCCGCAGGTAGGCGGGCAGGGAATAAGAGCGCAGGTGCGGTGCGCCCCAGGTGCAGCTCCCAGGTGCTCCGCCCACCGGCCGCGGAGCGCGCCCTCCATTGGCTGCTCCGCCCGAGGACCGAACTCCCATTGGCCGAGGTGGAGCCGACTCGCGCGGGGGCGACGGCAGCTTGGAGCCCTTCGCGTGACCCGGCGAGAGAGGAGTGAGGCTAGCGGCGGCCTAGCGGCTGGTCTTCAGGGACGCGCCGGCCCCGGCCCCCGCCCCACCGCCCTGGAGCGCCCCGCTCCGATTCAGGGCGGGGCCCAGCCCCGGCCGGGGGGCGTGGTGGGACCCGAGGCGGCTCGCGCAAGCGCAGTAGGCGCGCCCCACAGCCCCCGGCAGCCCTCGCGGCCGCACGCCTCGCCCCGCCCCTCCCCAGCGAGGGAGCCTCCCGGCGGCCCCGCCCCCACCCGGGCCCGCGGAGGAGGCGGTGAAGGATGACGTCATCCAGCGGGGCGACGGGCATTGGGCGCCATTTTGAAAAGGG